GCTTGTTTTAAAATCTCTGCATTGCCTTTCTCCTGGGCTGGAGAAACATTAGTTGTGCTTGTGTACTGAAATGGAGAAAAGGGCTGTTTGTGCGTGTTTTTGAATAGCTGTCAAACAGCAGACTTACAGAAGTAGCCTAACCCCAAATCCATTACCATCCCTTTTTTATGGTGATGGGTGAAATGATAAAAACGCAACTGATGTTTTCCACCAGTTAATTGTTTTTCTCTGCAAGAAGATGAACAAAACTCTGTAAAACTCAAGTACAGCTCTGTATATCTGATGTGTGTGGAAGAGGACTAGCCAGTCTCATGGAGTGCATTACATTTCCTGAGGTTTTTAATTATTAACATGAGAGATGAATGCATGGAAAAAAGCAAGTTATGTGAACTTACAAAAAGATGCAAAGCTCCTAAAACAAGACTGTACATTTAGCAGAGGGAGAACTATTGTTAATACTGTTCATCTTACCACAGTGTCTAGGCACTATGACAGAGACCCACACCTTTTTGTGCTATTGTTTGATTAGCGACTTCCTCAAGTCAGGAAGTGGCAAGATTCCTGTACTATTCAGCTGTGATTGCACTAACATTTACGTGGATAATTCTGCTTCCTAAACCCTCATATTTTCTCTGTGTTCAGAGACAATTTGGAAGGCAATATACTAGTTACCTGAACCACAGGATCACAGAATCCTCGAGGCTGGAAGGGGCCATCTAGTTCATCAGGACTAAAATCACCTAGTCTGTGTCCCAGCTCACAGCAGAGTCAGGTAGAGGAGGCTGCCCCAGACCATGTGTAGTTGGTTTTGATTATTTCCAAGGGCTGAGATGCCAGAACTTCTCTGGACAAACTGTACAAGTGATTGATTGCTCCCATTGTGAAAAAATACCAAACAAACCAAAAACCAAAAGTGCAACAGTGAAACCTCCTGGAGTATTCAGATGGAATTTCATGTGATTCAGTTTGTGCCCAAGGCCTCTTGTCCCATCACTGAGAAGATCCTAGGTCCATATATTTCTTTTTTTCCCCACCAAGTATTTCTAGAAATCAATAAGATCCTTCAAGGGCTTTCTCTTCTCCAGACTGAAGACTCACAACTCTCTCGGTGTCTCAACATACGACAAATCTTCCGGTCCCTTTTTCATTGTGGCCCTTTGTTGGAGGTACTCTGGAGTGCCCATGTCTGTTTTGTGCTTGGGAAGCTCAGACCTGGACCCAGCACTCCAGATGTATCTTTACCAGTGCTGAGCAGAGGGAAAGGATCACCTTCCTCCAGCTGCTGCTGCTGTTTTTCTTGATGCAACCCAGGATGTCAATTGCTTTCTTTGCTGTGCAGGTGAGTTGCTGGTGAGTTGAAGACTTTTTGTTAAGTATGGGACCCCCAGATCCTTCTCTGTGTTGCTGTTTTCCAGCCCACTGGCCCCAGCATGTATTGGTGTCTGGGTTTGTTTTATCCAAAAGGACAGGACTTCCCTTTGTTGAACTTCAATGTTGCAGAAGGTCATCAAGTCAGTTAAGCACAATTTACCTTTCATAAGTCCTTCCTCATCCTGTGACCTTCTTGTCCTTGGCTTTGGCAAGAGTTTCCAGGATTGGCTACTCCATCACCTCTACAGGAACTAAAGTGAGGCTGACCAACCTGTAACTCCTTCCCTTAAGGACAGGAGTGATATTTGCTCTCTTACCTCAGGGATCACCCATAACCTTTCAAGGGCAAATAGAGGGTAGCTCGCAATAGCATGACTTGGCTTCTTCAGGTCTGTGTATGTCATACTAAGTGATTCCATTGTGCGTGTAAGTCCCGTTTTTTCAAGTACTCCCTGGCCTTTTCTTGCTCTGTCCAAGGTAAGTCTTATTCACTCTGTATTTTTCCTTTAGTCTCAAAGGCCTACAATTCCTGAAGGCTGCTTTTACCACTAAAGATGAAGGCAAAGATGGCATTGAGCACCTCAGCCTTTTCTGTGTCCTCTTTCAACTCATGTAGAAACTTTCCCCATTACCCTTTACATTTCTCATCTCTCCTAGTTTCAGCCAGTTTTATGTGTTACTTTTGCATTTTCTGGGGTGGGGGTATGGGAAGGGCAAAGAGGCTGGAGCTGTATGGATGTGTAGAGGTGATTTATTCTATACCAGTCATGTCATCGCTGTAGGGCATGGCTTTGGGTAAAAGAAAAGGCTGAGTGGAAGGACAGCCATTTTTGTTCCCTCCTTACCTGTGGAAGCCAAATGCTGGACAGAACGGTGCAGTCGGAGTGGTCTGGGCGGAGCACTGTAGACTGGCTTGGGGCATTTTTCCATCATTGTTTTCCATTGTCTCAGGCATGGGACAAAAAACCCCACACTGTCTGTGGGAATATCCACCCTTTTCTCCTTTGTCTCTGGAAAAGCCACATGGCCACCAGGGGTGTGGTAACACCCACCATTTTTCTCCTTTGTCACTGGTATGTCATGGCCATATTAACAACAGGACAGTTGGATTTCCATAAGCATTTTTGGCATGTTATCACCCTTTATTAGACATTGTTAGTACTGTTTCTGTTAGTTTTTCTTATTACTATTTTTCCAGTAAATTGTTGTCTCAACCCATGACCTCTACCTTTTTGTCACTTTCTCACTGGAGGGGCTGGGGGGAAAGGAAGTGGCTGTTTGGAGCTTAATTTCCACCCAGTCTTAAACCACAGCATCACCTCATTCAACTCCAGGTGGGCTTTGGCTTTCCTCATCTCATCCCTGTGTAATGCACAGTGCCCTGCATTCTTCCTAATTCAGCTGTCCCCACTTCCTCTTACCATACATTTCCTGTTTATATCTGAGTTCAGTCAGGAGCTCTCTGGGCATCCATGTAGGCCATTTGCTGCCTTTGTTTGAGCTCTGCATATCAGGTTGAACAATTCCTAAGCATAAAGGAGGTGATCTTTGAAAATTAAACAGCTGTCCTGGACTCATCTTTTCCCCAGGGCCAGAACCCATGTGACTCTTCCAACCAGCTCTAAAGATCTTGAAGTCTGCTCTGCAAACTTCAGTTCCATTCTTTGCTATTCTCCCTCCTCTCAAATTTCTGAATTCACCATCTCATTATCCCTGCATCAAAAAGCTTCACATGCTCGTGCATTTCTTCTGGTGCTGTGAGTGCCAAGACTGGCTTCTTGATCACCAGTGTCAGGAGGTTGTTTGTCAATGTTCTGTTCTGAAGCTTTAGTTTGACCGGTTCATATCCTTCAGCCCAAAGAAAATTTATTTTAATGTAAAATTTCCAGCTGCTACTCTTGGCAGAGATGAATTCATGCTGTTAAGTATGATCAGAAGCAAAATGTTTATAACCTTTTGCTGCCTTAAGATTATTTACATTTTTGAGCTTGTTGCCCATGCCATTTTGCATTAATCAAACATAATCAATCAGTTCATTAGGCTGAAAAGAGAAACTGAAAACCAGATTCTATCAAAATATTAGGTATTAACTTCAATGTTCTCTCTATCTCAGTAACTTTTTTTGTATCAAATTCTGTATTGCATACTGCAGGTTGAAGATGCATTTATCTTCAGTTTCACATTTCTGGATTCATTATGACCTCACAACATCTGCAAAGGACTGGCTCTAAAAAAGGGCACTGCAGGCCTTTTGTGGAATTGGGAGAAAGGAAGAATTTCCTGGTTGTTCATAAATATATGTGGAAATGCTCTGAATGCATTTCCTATAGCAAGCCACTCCAAAGGCAAACTTCAGGTACTCCTGCAATACTTGCTCTTACTGTGACCCAGAACTGTAGTCCCAGTCATTTCCCACTCTTTCCTTTAATATCACCTAGTGGAAAAGGTAGATTTCCACAAGCAGAAAAAAAAAAAAAAAGAAAATTAAGCTAAATATGCATCAGGACAAGCATTTTGCTGTGGGATATCTCCTGATTAATCAGTCTTACCTGCTGTGATTGATGCCTGCACTAATACTTTTGCAGTGCCAGCTGCCTTCAGAATCTGGGATTCTGGAGTAAAGAAGCAAGAAATTTTGGGGAATAGATACAGGAATGCTAGGAGGTAAGGCCAGAATGAGGTCACTGAAGCAGATCCTCTCTTCAGCTGCTTGGAAATAATGTGCTGTGTTCCTCTGAGTTTTACTGTTCTCTGTGCTCTGCTACTTCTCAGTCACTTTGAAGAACATTTATATCTTCTGTCTTTTTCAGGGACTCTTGTTTCTCCCTCTGGGTACTTTACTACATTTCTCTTCCTCTGTAGCTTCTCCACCCCATTTTATTCTTTCCTTTCAACTTACAGTGACTGAAGAACTGTATGTTCTTCCCATAAATTCTTTGAAAGACAAAACTGGTGCAACTGTCGGTTCCCTGGCCTTAGGCATGGCTACCACCGTGACTTGCATGTACAGCCATCATGCTTAACTTGTAGTTTTACAGTATGTGAACATCTGGAAAGGGTGATAGCTTTTCTATCTCACTGGTCTTTAGCAAAACCAGGAACAGGTTGCCCAGAGAGGTGATACGTGCCCCATTCCTGGAAAACTTCAAGGTCAGGTTGGACAGTGCTCTGACCAAGATGAAGATGTACCTGCTCGTTGCAGGGGCTTGGACTAAATGATCTTTTCCAATCTAAACCTTCCAACCCAAAAAGAAAAATTCCATCTAAGGTAAATGTTACAAGTTCAAATCTGAGTGAAACTTTGTGAAATTTTTCTTGTCATCTGGAATTATAGATGACAGTGGCCTGGATGCAAATTTGCCTCCGTAATTTTGTGAGAGGAAGGATACATGTAACAGAAGAAGGATGAGACCAAGCCTGTAATTTTTCTGGTATATTTGTAGTGTAATTATGAAGCCACTTGTGTCAGAAACAGGGTACAGGCTCCCTTTTTCAGTTCCCACAATCTTGAGTAAGCTGTGACAGAAGCAGCTGCTCTTAGAATTGGCTCAGAGGAGCCAGAGATTATTTTTTCCTCTTGCAATTGACAGTTCCCTCTGAGGAGATGAAAGCATAACCAGAGCTCTCTGTTTGGCAGCTAGGTAGTGTATTTTATTCTGCCCTTTTCCTGAATCATGGGTGCCTCATATCATATAAGCAAATACAAGGCATTTGTTTTAAATACAAAATGTATTCATGAATTCATTAGCAAAATAACAGTTATTTTTACCCCCACATAAAACAACTTGAAAGACATACAATACAAAAATAATCAGTTGCAACAAATAATCTGCAAATTTCAAACAAAAGTTAATACGTTTCCCAAGTCAGTTAATGTCCCAAAACAAAAAAAATTACAGTTCTCATCTGAAGCTCCTTATGAAGCACAAGTCAAGATTGATAACACCATGATGCTTCATTTATCTGGTAGCTTAAGAAACTCCTATTACCAGAGATGGTGACTTCTACTAGACACAGCCTGAGCATTTCTATATGGAGATTTATTCTAATTTGAAATACTGAGCACTTTTGCATATCCCCTCCAACTCCACTCTAAGTCACAAATGATCAATGTTTTTCCTATGCAATTTCGTCCTAAGTAGTGTTACTATTAGGGATCACTGACACAGTCTTCTTCCAGTTTGCCCTGTTTCACAGATGAAGGATTTTACTGGCTGCCTGTCTCTCTTGTTTTGACAGGTGTTGCTCTTCCTGAGGTCCTCTGGAAGTCTGTATCCTGTTGGCAACTGGTTTCTTGCATGGATATATGAGAATTTAACCCCCCTCTGAGGTTTGGGTCTTGGTCAGCTGTTTGCTGCTGCTCCACAGATAAAGTATATGGTGGTGGCTGTTCCTGCTCATTTGTTTCACTGACAAACTCTGCACTACTTTCACTGTATGGAGGCAGAGGAATATTGATGAATTCTTGCTGTTTTAGTGTGGAGGCAACTGGCAGTGGGAAGACCAGTTTTTCAGCATCTATTCTGTCTTCATAAGAGGGAGGGTAGAAGTCAGGCCTAAAATAAGCAAACCAAAAAGAAGCCCATCATGATGAAGTGTGATTTATCTCATACTACTTTGTTAGATGCTGTTATGTTTCCAAAATTTAGATGAGACTTACTGTAAAACACACCTAAGTGTGTTTAAAGCATGAAATATATTAGTATAAAAAGTAGGCATAACTGGTATCATTTGCCTTGTCTTTGTACAAAATGTTTTATTAAAACATTTTAAAATGTTTTAATAAAGTCTTCCCCATGAAAATTCCCAACCATGACATACAAACACTCATTTTAATGCTTGTATTTTAACAAGTGCCTGAGAAAGATTTAATTTGGAAGAAAAATGAGATCAGTGTTCTGAGTTATTTATTATTACAATAACCATTGTTTTCCACAGTTTTAAAATAAATTTGGTATGTCTCTGCTTATCTAGCCAAAATTTACTGAATGTTGCTTTTATATTGCCTTTAGAGCACCCACTGTCAAGTGTTTCTAGTACGGTTTCCACAACACTCTAGGAAAAGTAATTTGTATCCAGTGACTATGTTAAAGAGTTTTGCCAGGCCTACTGCCAATCAGTTTAAGAAATTCTGTCTCTCAAAGCAACAGACTTTGTCAGGAACAAAATCATAGGGTCACAGAATGTTTTGTGAAGGGACCTTAATGATCATTCAGTTCCTGCCATGGGAAGGGCCACCTTCCACTAGACGAGACTGTCCATCCAGCCTTGCCTTGAACACTTCCAGGGATGGGGCAGCCCAACTTCTCTGGGCAACCTGCTCCAGTGCCTCACCACCTTCACAGTAGAGCATTTTTTTCCCAGTATCTAATCTAAACATAACCTTTCTCCATCCGAAAGCATCCCCCCTTATCCTGTCCCTACATGTTCTTTTTTAAAGTCCCGCTCCATCTTTCCTCTAAGTTCCCTTCATGTATATAGGGTGCTATAATCTCACTTCTCTGGGCTGAACAACTCCAGCTCTCTCAGCCTGTCATCACAGGAGAGGAGTTTCACTCCCCTGATCATCTTCATGGCCCTCTTCTGGACTCAGTCACAGGTCCACGCCCTTTCTGTGCCAAGGACGCCAGATCTGGATGCAAGAGTGGTGGGCACTCACAAAGAGTGGTGGGCACTCACAAAGACACAACCAAGGAGCAGAATCCCCTCCCTCAACCTGTTGGTCACTCTTCTTTGGATGCAGCCCAGGACTCATTTGGCTTTCTGGCTGCAGGTGTACATTGTTGGGTCACATTGACCTACTCATCAACAACCTCCCCCAAGTTCTTCTCCCCAGGACTGCTCTCAATCCGTTGTCTGCCCAGCCTGTGTTTGTGCTTCGATTTGCACCAACCCAGGTGCAAGACCTTGCACTTGGCCTGGTTGAATTCCATGAGGTTTTTAAACTGGGGGGAGAATCAGACAAGAAAAATTAAGCAGGAGCCATATAATGAATGAGCTGAGCACATACCTCAACTCTGCATGAGCACCTACCCCACAGCAGCATCTTAAATTGTCTGCTAAGATGGAACTCGGGATGCTCCTGCATGATGTTGGAATAGCTGCACCTGCTGCCTCCATGCATGACTTTGGGAGCTTTGGAAAATCTGAAACTTTCTCTGTTTCATGTAGTATACCTTACCTTAGGTATTGTTTTCACAAATGGCTGTTTGCACATTGCTGCTTGCTTTAGCAAATAAAATTTCAGACTACAGTTCCCTCCACAGAAAAATAATAAAAATTTTACAAAATCATAATAATAAATAATGTAATGTAAAATAATAAAATTTTACAAAATGCAGGATTTGCATTTTGTAAAAACCTTGTATTGCTTCTTTCTCCTCACAGTATGTTTAGAGAATAGCATCCCTCCCTCCCAGTTCATCTACAACACATACCTGTCTATGGTGCAGACATGTGGTTCTCTGTGGCTGAGATTTTGAATGAAGATGCCAAGGGCCCTGTACTTCAGGACTTCATGGAAAGTGCTCCAAAAAATGCCAGTAACAAGGAGAGAGAGCCCCAAAGCTAAAAGGCAATGAAACACTAGCTTGTTGTTCCCACATCTGCACATGGAGGAATTTGTGGACATGCAAAGTACTCCCAGGCAAATAGTGGAGAAACTGAGTAAGAGCATAAAAAGACGAAAGAAAGTAAAAAGACCTTTTGGCATCTTTGACAGAAGGCACAGCGCTTTGTTCCTGTCTGCTGTTTGTTTGCTGGCTCTCCCTGCTGTACTTCTCATCTTTATGTATGGGTACTTTATATGCTACAGGACCAACTGCCTTTAGATAACTAAGAGCAGCACACAGTTTTAACCTACTCATTAACTCTTTGAGTTAATCTTCTGAGATTAATTTGTAACCTTCTACCTACTCTCAGGACGGAAGCAGAAACTTCCTGAACCATCCCTTTGCTGCTGTAATCTGTAGAGTGTAAACTTGGACTGCTACTTTCATTGCATGATTTGCAGTGGTTTATACACTTCACTGCTTATGAATGAGACCTGTATTTGTTAATTTTGACTTGACTTTAAAAGAAGAAAAGCCAACAACCAACAAAGATACTGTTCATAAATTCCCATTAACGGTTTGAAGGGAAAATATGCTTCATATAAATGCAAACATTGACACAGGAGGGGAATGGGCACAGGCAAAAACTGCTGTTGTCTGAGGGGGTATGTCATCTCACCTTTTCTCTCTGACTTGCCAAGATAAGGTAGCACTAAAGAATATTAGTCTCTGTCAGGTATCAATCTAGGTTCAACAAAGGACTAACTTCTCTAAGCACTAGCTGTTACCATCCAGTACCGTGGTCCTGAGAGCCTAGGAGGCTGACACAAAGCACTTGCATAACCTATGTGGCCCATAAAGGAGCCCAGCACCTCAGACTGGGACACAGGGCAGCCTTGAGGGGTGTCTGTGAGCACCCAGAACCAGCAGTAGGAGACAATACATCTCTTAGTGAGCAGTTTCTGAGATGTGGAGTTACTCCAAAGATATGCTGGGCTCTGACTAGCACTCACAGCTTTCTCTCCAGCTGCCTAACTTGTGTGGTTATTATTGGATACTAAAACAGCCAGCTCACACCTCCCTATACTGCTTTGTAAGGTTCTAGTTGTAAAAACAGCAAAAAATTCAACTGCAAAAGCAAGTGGTGACACAACTAACAGATTACTTCCCTTAAAAGAACTGCTCCAGTGGAAAAGACATAAAGTGGAGCAGCTTCCCACCAATGTGAGTTGCCTCTTAGCATGTGTGCAGGTGCATGTTTCTCAGGGATGGGGAGGGGTAGGTCAAGGAAAACTGTTATTTTAGGCACTGGCTTTACCAAATTCAGGTCTTTAAAAGAGGTGGCCCAATTGTGACAGAGGAAATCAGTAACCAGGAGGGTAAAGCCATGTGTTGGGGGTAGGAATTTATGCAGGAAAGGGGTGAGTGGAGGCTGAGAACACGAGAGGCAGGTGGAGCACAGTGAAGTGGTAGAGTCAGTGCAGCTGGATGCTCACTCAACAGCAACAGCTGCTCTTCCAGAAATGTTACTGCAAAAGTGTACTGTGACAGAAACACATTAAAATAAACTGATTCAAAAGGCAAGCAATTTACATCTGTCTTGCCTCATATGAAGTCCACTAGTTACTCTTCCTTCTGCTGCAGGACTGTTTTCCAGGACACCTTTGTTTCTGGACATGCTCTGTTGTTTCCAATATTAATGAATGCTCTTCAGTTTGTTTTCGCATAGGTTAACATATCCAGCTGAATTTACAATAATATTTTTTCTGTATAATTTCTACTTTCTGTGTATCTGCTGAAAATACTTTATTTAACAAAATATTTTTTATTGCTTCTGGGTATTTTGATGTTTCAGATTTTAACTCACCTAAATAGAATTACCAAGTTATTCATGACTAAAGTTCAGTTAATTAATGTAACTCACATCTTCTGTAAGCTACTTCTTCTGTCCTTGTGCTACAGGATGGTATATAGAAAAGAATGATGATATAAATAATTTTTATTTCTTGTTTTCTGTATAGATCTGTACTCACTGACCTGTTTGGTCATTGAAATTTATGTTATGTTATATTCCATTGACATTGGAACATTATAGCATCATATCTGTGGTGATAAAGGATTAGTTAAATGTTACAGGAAAATCTGGACAGGAAATTGTATTCTCTTTATGTGAAAAAAAAAATCTAACAGTTCAAAAACACTCCCTTTCCACATTAGGAAAAGAGATAAAAAGGAATAGTCTGAAAAATTCCTTAGTAAGGAAGTTAAAAAGATTAAATAAATGTTATAACTCTCAGAAGAATCAAAAGCCAGTGACTGGGCTACACCTCACACAGAGGGAAGAACTGGATTGCAGGATATTCTTTAGCCAAGGACAAACTAATTTTCTACGCCAGCCAGTTCCCTGACAACCCCACAATATGAAAAAGAAGCAAGAGCTGTCAGTGGCAGCTGCTGGCTGCAGAGGATGGCGAAGGCAGACCCCAGCCATGGGAGGGACTGGGCCTGTGGAGAGGCTGCAAGGTGCTCTGACCAGAGAACAGCTAGCTCAGCACTGCCCAGGAGCTGAGCTTGGGGGGCCACAGACAACAAGGGGTTAGTCCTTGTGGTGCTGTGCGAGAAGAAGACATATATTGGAGCCCCTTCATGGGGAAGATCTGTATCTGCCTCTTGCTTTGCATTTGGAGATTTGCAGGGGTTTTTTGAAGCCTGCAGAAGTTTGATGATTTCTCCAAGAGGTCAGTTTCATCTATGGCAACAGACTATGTGTGTATTATCCTTGAAAACAGCATTTGATTCTAAATTAATGTATCTCACCCAGGGGGTATATAAAGGAAAAGAAAAAAACAAGTGACAATAGCTTCATAATGCTGTTTAATTATCAGGGTTCCATTATTTTTCGTATTTTCCATCACTTCAGATTTTCTGTAATGTTGTTCTTGGCCTTTTCCAATTTCCCTTTCCAATTTTGCAGCTTGATTGTTTTATTGGCAGTGAGTGTCTTGGACTGCATCAGACTGGATGAGCAGATTTCCTATTTCTCTGACAAAACAGGAAGAAAGTTCCTGCTAATGAGATCAGGTGGGAAAAGGGAATAGCTAACATAGTGTAAAGGTTACTGAGCAGAATTGGCTCCAGACCAAGGTCAAAAGGTAGCAGTCCAGACGCAGAAAAGGCATTTTTTAGGAAGTCTGATTGAAGATGAACTTAATGGATGTTCCACTGGACGATTTGATGATTACAATTTTTTGGCAATTTGCATTTCACTTTGAAAGGTCACTGCTTATCCTGTTGGAATATGTAAGGCTTCAACAAACCAGTTTCTAAAATTATGCTAGTCAGAAAGAAATTTGTGATATTTTTATGAGAGTTATGAGACACAAACTTATTTTTTAGCTATTAATAAAATGGAAAATTTGATAATCAGAAAATTAAAAAAAAATAAACCTTTTAATGCAAATATTTTGGGGTGTGTTAGTGACAGCTGCATATCATATCACCATGCATGCATGATACAAGATCATGTCTTATTAGAGGTCACATTTGCTGCCAAAAAATGATACTTTACCAGAAATTTGAAGATTATGTGTTTTGATCTAGTCTGAAACAAATAAATTACTTTTAATAAAATTAAAACTCAGAATTTTCACAAGTTTTTTTTTCTTCTGTAACTTTCTAGCACCCTTAGCTGATGTGATTTATTGTAATAACTCACTCAAAGGGTACTTTATGTTGTCAAAAATTCTGAGCAGATTTGCCAATGTGCTCCTTTAGCAATGCAAAAACATCAAAACCATATTTCACAGACCAGTTTCCAGCCTGAGAATGTGATGCTGCCTACACAAACAAGATGCATGAACACAGACAGGGCTACTCTTTGTGTTTGAAGGTATTGTGATTTTAGGAGGTGTGGCTCCTATTTGAGAAAGAATGATTGACTTTCATAAAGGAAACTGGGTATAATTAATTCCACAAATACATGAAAAGAGCAGAAATGAACTAATGCAATTGAAAATAATACAATGCAGAATTTTTATTGAGAAATTTCTCCAAACAGTTGAGAATAGTTTACTCCAGATATGGGCAACAGAAAAAAAGCAACAAGTACTTAAAAAGAATTAAGATACTAAGTTTTAAAATCACTACAAAATTTTGAGGTTTAACAGATGATATTTTTAACAAATATTTAAACTTTATTTTTGGTGAATCAGATATTCTTTTTTCCCCAGATATTCTTTCCAAATTTTATTGTTTTAGTTATTTACTAAAAGAATGGCATACAGTAATTGTGGTAACAACTGTGATAGCTAACTATAGTTCAGACTTTAATAGATTAAAATTTTAAGAGTTTAAATAGTTTAAAATTATATAAAATGGCTAGTCATAAAAAATTACACATAAATTGTAAATTCATTAGTTCCCTAATGAATATGGAATTATCTTTGGTCTATCAGGCTATTTATTGATATATCTATCAGAATTGTATATTTTTGTAAAACTTTGAAATGAACATGATAAATTATCAGGACATCAGAGGCCTTCCCTTTTAATTTATATATGCCAAAACCAGAATTCTACCTGTGTCAGGAAAAAAAATAAATATAGTAAACACTGCTCTTCTTTTTCTCTTAGCAAGAAGATACAGTGAAAAGCTCTGGCAATGAAAATACAGGCATGCTGTACTTGTCTCATGTTCACATCTTTAAAAACACCACATCTTGCATGATATCCAGGAGCCTGAGAAAGTTATGCATTGCATATGAACATCTATTGAACCAGGCATTATGGTTCTTTCTGTGGAATTAAGAGTTAAAAAAATATATTATGTGTACAGTGAAATAGAAAGCTTTTAAAATTAAATAAAACCAACAAAGAAACCAAACCAAACAAGAAAAACCAAGCCCACCAAACAGAAGGCTTTGATGTCTGTTTACCTAAGCACAAGAATGAGAGCTGTAGGTAAACAGTGACAGCCTGGCTGAGCATTGTGGATTAGAGGGTGTGCAAGGCCATCCTCTCCATTCTGCTCTGTTCCAACTGTTTGCAGTGTCTCCAGCACAGTTGTATCTGCACAACTTCTGAGCAGGAAACAATTTTACAGCACTCCTTAGCAAATGTGGACAACTTTGACCCCCAAACAATGAGGATCCTCTGTACATGAGACAAGTTCCCTTTTGTTCATGGATCAGTACTGTAGATGATATGCCAGCTGAAATGTTTATTTTACATGAAGATTTGTATTCCACCATTTCACATGTGAGAATTTTGGCAGCATTCCAGTCAAAAATTAGTAAAAAATTACCAGTTAAATAATTGTGTTATCATGGGTTATCAGCTGATTATATTGTTTAAAGACTGCGTAAAATGTCTGGCAAAAAATTTTACCTAGGGAGAATGTGAACAAACAGTACTTTCCATTCAAAATTTAAGTGCCTCTCTTCTTTCTAACTTTCACTCCTACATACTTCTTTTCTCCAGAAGATGGTTGTCCTAAAGATTTTTAAATTGAGGTCTAGGAGTAAAATATGTTTTTGTATAAGGAGTCAAAGTAAGATATAGCCTGTATAGATAACAAACAGGGCTCAGATAAGAGTGAGACCATACAAACAGTGCCCATACAAACAGTGCTGTCCTCCTCTAGGAAAGGTGAGGACTGGCCTGAGCATAGCAATCTGTCTTTAGTTTTATGATATGGGAGGCACTGAAGCACAGTCCTGTTGGCACTGATGCCTATTTGCCTGTGCCAGCAGGAGCAAAGTCAGGTATTCTGTCTCGGCTTGAAGATTTCAGCAGTTTTAGCAAAAGCAGATCAAAAGTGAACTTTGAAGGAGCTTCTGGTAGCTCTTTTTCTAACAAAGCACAAAAAGCTTAAAGCTTTAGTTTGGCTGTGCTGGAAGGTTTAATATTAAAACAAGAATTCCTATTGGCTTTCAAATACAGTTAAATATTGTAACACAATTAGACTGAACCTCCTGAAAGTCATCATATTTGACGTCATTCCAGTAGGCTGGCTGAACACTACAATCAAATATTGACTCTACACTACTAGAGTAGTGTAGAGTAAACTGTACACTAGTAGAGTTTAATCAACATAGGTATAACTTTTAAGAATTTTAAGTGGAATAGATGCAGAAGTCCTGCTCTCAGTTAGAGGAATATCCTGTGAGTTTTACACAAAATTGACAAATGGTCTCATGTAGTGAGATCTTCAAATATTTTTCAAAATTATTTTCAGAATGAATCTGGTGTTATAAATTACAGTTATTTGTATTTGTTTCTGTAACTGCAGTGCATGCTTTGATATGTAAATTTACTTGCAGAGGTCTACTCATTTCTGATTTGAACCAAACGAGTTAATCAATGCTCAAGCAAACCTAAACAGTCTACTTTTCAAGCAGGCAGGTTTGTAAAGAAGCAGGTTTTCAGCACTCACAGCATACCTGATTTACCAAAAAAAATGGATACCACAAGAGAATACAAAATAATGAAAAAAGAGAGGGTTAAGCACATTGGCTTATGGAGCAGTTAACAAATCTGATTGACTGGGAAAGCACATGGACAAGAACTACAGCCTGTGGCATGTGTGAAGCCTGTACTGTGCAAGCTTTCACATTTCTGTGCAAATGAACAGATCTGACTGACAGAGAACTGGTCAGCCAAAAAAAAAATAAAAAAGAGGCCAAAGGAAGAAGAACTGTCTTAGGAGGTGGG